GAGAGAGAGAGAGAGAGAGAGAGAGAGAGAGGGGAGGGGGGGAAGACATAATGGCCAAATATGAAGAAATAATGGCCTTCTCCTCTGTTTTCCAGAATTAAGAGAAGGAAATTCTCCTTTCTTCCCTTAATAGAATTATAATATTTTTGTAAGTCTATGAATTTTGGGGTTCCTCCAAACCTGCTGATCTCTTCTATTTGTGCATGAACCCTGTTGGAGCTACTTGAGGATGCATTCACTATTAATATACCGGATGTTGTGTGTTCTCGTAGGGTTAAATCACAAAGGCCTCTTTCGGATCAGCGGATCAGCAGCCAAAATCAGGGCGCTTAGATTAAAGTATGATCGAGGAGAAGAAGTTGACCTTGTCAAGGAAGGAGATGTTGACTCTGTTGCCAGCCTCCTTAAACTATTCCTGAATCAGCTTCCAACTGCTGTTTTCCCGGAAGAGCTGTGCACTGATGCTTGGGCCACTTTTGAAGGTAATGCAAGTACATAGGAAGCTTGTTCTTCTTATTCTGACACAAGAAAGTGTGATGCCACGTCTTGGTAACAGGCTGGATCACACTTGCTGAAATCCTTGAGTGAGAAAGGACCACAGTGAAGGATACCAGGACATAGGTCCATGGCAGGACAAAACGCGCAAGGCAACTCATTTTTAGTCAGCGTTGCCCTGTGTCTCCTCCAGATCTGGTTCCAACTCCGTGTACTTTGGGCCATCCCCCAAGCTTAAGCTAATTCGTACATGACAACATTGAATAATATTTAAAGGAAGGGGAAGACCCAAAAGATAATGGCGAGATGGAAGTGGTGAGATCTCGAAGAAGAGAGGCAAAAAGTTGAAGAACGAAAGGCAATGTGTGAATCAGTGCATGGAGGAGGTGGAAGCAAGGATGGCTTATTAGGGTAGGAAGGTGTGAAAATGTACAGTAAGGGGTAGCGTTGGAAACTGGATTGAGCTGTACTTGATTTTCTTTTTCATATTGCGTGATATGTCATATTCCTTTGGTTTACTATTTTGTCTTCTGTTTCTGTACTTTGCACAGTGTTGTTTAACCCAAGGGGGGATAGGTGTATTATTATTGTTAAAAATAATAATTGCTTAACCCAAAGGGGGGGATAGGTGTATTATTATTATTATTGGTGGTGGTGGCCGCACACTCAGCCAGATGTTTAGACTGGATTTGGCATTTGTATCCACCTATTGAGTCCTTCCCAAGAGCCTGGGATAAGCGGATGTTGTTTGATGGCATTCCAGGTATCGTTGCAGGATGGAAGCTGTTCCAAGTGAAGCTGCCTTTTGCAACTGACTGATGGTGATTTTGCAATTATTATTAGTGTTATTGTTATTTCAAAACAAAAGTGTTCCGCTTGGGTACAAACAAGAATTTTAAAACAATGCTGTTTTGATCCACCTTGGGTAGCCGCACTGTCATTACCAATGCCGATTTCTGCATGCTAGCTTACTGTTACATGCACATAGCATTAACTCAAACTCCAGTATTGAATCTCTCTTCCCTTGATCATTTCTTCTCCTATGTTGTCTTTCTTAGTCTCTTTCACTTCCCTGAGCCTTGCGTAAACTAATGCACCAGTTAGTGCTCATAAACATGGGCCTTAAGTCACACGTTCCCCAACATTCTCTGTAAAGGCCATCGGCATCCTCACGACATCCCTTCCTTGAAGCGGGGCAACTACATTTCAGATGAGCATGAAACTGAGTCAACTCAGGGAGGCAGTGAAGGACAGGAAGGCCTGGCGCGATATGGTTCATGGGGTCACGAAGAGTTGGACATGACTTAACGACTGAACAACAACAACAGGAGTCCTGCGCACAATTCTTTTTTTGGGGAGTGCCAGTTGATAAACTTCTGTCATTTCTGGGGAATCCCAATTCAGCAAGGCTTTGAGAGCATGTGTTGAGACTCAACAGCTATGAAATACTGAACTTATTCTAACTGATGTTAATCTGTCTCTGTTAATCATTAATATCCAATCCTTCACAGAGAATAGAAACTGCACCACAGAGCAAACAAGATGTCTAAAAAGGCTATTAAGTAGCTTGCCGGAAGCACACAGTCGTCTGGTTTGTTTCCTTATTAGATTTCTCGTCAAGGTGGGTGCAAACAGTGATGTGAATCAGATGACACTGGAGAACCTGGCCATTGTTTTTGGCCCCACGTTATTCCGGTAAGAGGTTCTTACAGTATCTCCACAGTGCTAAAACCATCATGAGTTGCCATCTAACTCATCCTTCCTTAAAGGGATTGGAGGTGTTACAGGTTCACTTGATTAGAACCAGTGATAATTTAATGTTTGGCTCTGGAATCTAACTGGGCCTCAGAAGAGGCACATCAGATGATGGCAAAGTATGACATCATTTTATGATCCAAATTGCATCTCCCACAACTTGCATGTTCTTTACTCTAATAATGTCTCTCAAGAGTCAATAGCAGGGCCTAATATCTCTTATTGCTGGGATCCAATGGAAAGGGATTGTTTGCAAAATCATTCATTTACTTCCCTCCTAACAACATTTGGTTTTTCTCCATTCAAGAAAATCAGCCTTTTTAGTCATGTTCAGTATAACAGCATATGCGGGGCCTGTGGAGATCTCCCACCCTGATTCCATGGTTTGTGAAGCTCTGATGGCCTTTGCAAGGAGTTGTGACTTTTTGTCTAAGGATTCCATACAGCTGTGACAGACAGACATGCTGATGTCAGGCCTATGGATTCTGCTAACATGTGGTGGCCATGGAAGGAGAGGATGGAAAAGGGTTGGGTGGAATGAAACCAAGGAAGAGTCATAGGAGACTTGAAATCTATCCAGGCATGTAAAGATTTCCACTGCAGGGAAGGTATACATTTCATTAATTTAGATAGTGGGCATGACTGCTCCCACCTAGTTCAGAATATTTACTTCTGTCACATTCATTTGGAAGTAGCGCTTTGAAGGACTTGGCAGAGACCACTCCTGCCTTAGGGAGTTGCTGACGTCCATCTTCTGTGAAATACCAAGCCAGACGTATGGCTTGGCATAGGTCTGTTCTGCCTGTGAGATTGTGGCCCGGGTACAGGGCACTCTTTGCAGGACAATTGGAACATTCATGATAAGAAGATTTTGCCCACACTGTTTCCCCAGATGTATAACAGAACTGTCAGCTCAGAATTTGCCATGAATTTGGAGCTTCCTCCTCATGGAAAACGTCTGGTCTGAGAAAAGCCCCCCAAGGGCTGAACTTCTGGCAAAGGGCTGAGTGGCACTGCCTCTGGTTCAGGTATAGACTGAAATATGGGCAGGAGGAGTTTTCAGAGCCACTTCTGAGCCCTCCTTTAGAGGAGGCAGGTCTAGGATGCTTTACGTTCATTATTTCTATGCAAAAGGACAGGTGCAGCATCTGGAAAGCTTTCAGGGAGTTAAGTCAGCAAGATCAGCCATAATCCACTTGGGTTCTGCAACCTGAAATAAGAAGGTTGCTCCCTGCTGCTTATATTCTTTAACCAAAGCTTAAGGGTCTCCTTTCCCACATTCTTAACAGACTGACAGATATCAATCTTGTGTGTGTGTGTGTGAGTGTGGGTATGGCATGGATTGAACACCCCAAGGACTTGGCAGTCTTCTCTGATCACCTATTAATGTGCATTATTAAAAGGATGGTAAGATTGCAAACAAAAACTCAGGTCATTCATTCATTCATTCATTCATGGCACCTTACAGTGTAAGTTCTCTAAGTGGCCCACACTCAATACCATAAACACCGTTTTGGCACAAGCGAAAACATGAAGCTGTCCAATTCAAAGCAGTGTACAGGAAAGGAAAGCAGAACTCCTCGCGCTCCTGTGGATCCCGTGGTGTCCACTGATGCCGAGCGGGTGCCCAAGGCTGGATGCCGGCGCCCTAGTTAAGAAGTCCTGGGAAGACCTACAAAGGCTGTCAAGTGAGCCTCTCTACAGAGACTGTTCTGCACCTGAGATGCTCCGGTCTGGATAAAGGCGTGCGGGAAAAAGCCTTTTTCCCAGGAGCCTGATCCAAAGCGATTCAGACCTTTAAAATCAGGACTTCCGTGGGGCTTTAATGAATTCAGAAGGGGAGCTGGGTCTCCGGCGACTGATCAGGACCAAATAGGAAATAATTTTGCAGGTGTTCTCTGCCCAAGCTGCCGTTTCCAATGTGCAGTGGTGGCAAAGGTTAGAACAGGAGCTCCCAGCTGACCTTGGCTGGACTTGGAAGCTAAGCACTGCAGAGGGGGCTTCACACCTCCTCCCCACCCTAGGAAGGCTCAGGGTTTTCTACTGTGTGGCTTGCAGATCACAAGAAACGCACGTGAAGTGGGAATGTGGACGGGGTGGGGGACAAGAAAATTCACTCGCAGGGCTTCTTCAACTTCTGAGGGCTGTGGGAGTGACTTGCAAAACTGAGAGCAGAAAGGGCCCATTGCTTCCTTCCTTCATCTTTATAGCAAGTTGAGCAAAACTGAGTTTGAGAAAGATGAAACGGATGGCATTCCATCCTCCTCCTCACTACTCCTCCTCCTACTACTACTACTGTGGTGTGTATTTTCCAGAATCCCTTGCAGCCCTTCGGCATGTGAAAAGCAAACCCTTTGCAATGCCATGCTTCTGCATGTTCTTCAGCACTATGAGGACCTCTTTCTGGATAGCTCCAACCACCACTTCTCCCTAATGGAAGAGCAGCCCCAGGTAAGGACCTGCCAAGGAGGATCACTTCAACACACGGCCAGAGATCTCTCTGTGCTGGGCAGCCAGCAACGGCATAATGAATGCGTCGAATGCAAGCCAGAAACTTGATTGATGTTTAAGTGATTATTTCCCTTCCAGGGAGGGCAAAAATCATCTATTTCAGAACAATAAAATAAGCAGCCATTCAGCTGTATAAACAGCTGGCTTTTAAACTAATGTTCCTGTTGCAGATAAAAAAGAGAAACTAGTAACACTTCTCTGACACCAGTTTAGATCTATTTCTATACTGGTACCAAAGTCCAGAACTTATAAGGGATTAAAGAGTGCTAACAATTCCCAAACCTTGCACTTAGCTCTTATTTAATTAATATTATTTTTAAAATGCTGTTTAGGTTGGTTGTACAAATAAATTGGTTCAGGGCAATTGACCTTTAATCCATTATTCACCCACTGTATTAAATCAAGCATGCCTAGTCTCTGTAATGAATCTGATTCAAGAGTAGAATGAAGTTTATTATATTGCAATTATAGAATCAATACTGACGAAAATGTAATTTGTTCAGTGGGAGAAAAATGAGAAAACTACTGAGGGATATTCTAGCTTTGCCTTTTATCTGACCAACTAGTTTTCTGTGTATAGATTTTTCTCATTCTCTGTCCCCTGACCTTGAAAAATTGGCCACGTGGGTGAGCTGCTGTTTAAACTGTTGTTCAGATCTGAAGAGTTAAAGATAAGAGAGAATCCAAGTATCTGATCTGCCAGGCCTTTCCCACCCAGCTGTCCTGCTGAGACATTGAGACTGTAACTCCCAGAGTGATGAGTTGTAGAGCAACTCACCGTACATTTAACTACAAGGCGACATGTTGAGGAAGACTGCAACGCACAGAGGATCAAGGAGTTTTCGCCGATTTTCTAGCCATTTGCAATCTTACGGCTCAACAATTACATGTTTCTTTTGAAAATGCTTTCTGCTTCCCCCATCCCAGGGCTATCTTTTGACGTTTGCTTCTTCTCCACAGGATCTCCATCCTGCCTCGCCACCTCAAGAGCTCACCCAGCAGACCGAGGAAAATGAACCTCCGCAAAGGATGCCCAGAACTGCCTGGCATCTTCCATCCATGCGGTGGCAATGTTGTGTTTTTAATCTTTCTGTTCAGCACTCCGGGAAAGCAGGGTCAGTTTGAGGTTAGGATTTGCAAAGCATTCTCTGCCTGTTAATCCTTTTCTGGGGCAAATTCATCCATTTCCATGTCAAGCACCCTTCTTTCTGATTTTTAATAACTGAAAACAGTCGTTTTCAAATAATGCTTCAGACAGTGCAAGCTATGCAGACACGTCAAACAGATACTTGGTTATAAATGTGCGCAGATTACATAATTTGTGCATCGTTTGGATAACCCTCGATAATGTTTTCAAAACAGCAAAATGAATGATCAGGAGTACCCTGTTCATTTGAAGTATTAGAACATGGGACAAATCTGTCTTTGGTGGTAGTGGGGAATTACTGAATAAACAAACAACCTATGTTGGTAATATTACCTCCTCTTCTCTTTCCCCCCCTCTTCTTGGAGTACTTCCTTGTAACCAGCCTTTCTGATTTTAGATAGCTGGAACTGATTTACAGTGCTTTGACCAAGGATCGTATTGAGCATCGAGACACTTGGAGCAGGAGCACATTTCTACATTTGTGAGTCTATAGCACTGCAAGAGAACAGCCAGTCAGCGCTCACACTTCTTGGACAAACACTGGGTTATGGAGATTTATCAGCCAGCCAGGGATTGCTTGTCAATCAGTAACTAATGCCTTGTTCCACCCTTTCAGTTTCATACCCAAGCATATCTCCTTTCCCCTCTTAGGGGGAGAAAACTGGGTCAATTACTAGCATTTCTGTCTTTGCCCTGGTGCTCTGTGCCCATTGCCTTCCAAACCAGCCCCTCCAATGATTGAACTAACACCCTTAAAATGAAAAAGTGACCTGCTTCTGCTACAACAGAAATGCAGTTGGAAAAGAAATGTCTTCATTGCTAATAGAATGCCTTTGACACATGGATAATTCAGGAACTATTGCAACAGTAAGGACCTGGTTACAGTGACATGCAATCAGCAGGGAGGTCATTTCACACTACACTTCAGCTTACACTGCATCTGCTGGAGCATTTCAACTGGTTGGCAATTTAACCTTGAGCAGATCCAGGATCTTAGCACCATAGAATTGGAAAGAGCTAGTGAGACCATTAGTTGCCACCTCCAGAATGACCCTTCCAGAGTCATTCAGAAGTTTTGAACCACTAATTCCAATTTTGCCTATTTTGATTAGAAGGCCTCGGACAGGAATCCTTACTATGTGGTTTCATTCCTCCCATTTTTATTTATCCTACAGCTCTTATTTAAAGTGTTGCCGAATAGTCTTAGGCTGACCTTTAGACATCTACCCGCCTTGTTCTTCTCCCAACATGTAAGACCAAATCTGGAATAAAGGAGGAAAGCACTCAGAATGAACCTTTCCCTGCAATCTGCCAAGAACAAAGTGAATCATTTTAAAGCTGGTCACAGTTTTATTGGTCAAGTTGAGTAGATCTTCTATGAACACCAAACGCAAATGCTGCTTCTGCAATACTCTACTCCTCAAGGCTCTTTCTGTTTTTTCCCAGCATGCATAGTTCTTCAGAAAATATAAGGGGGATCTACCAAACTGTCCAGCAGAATGATGAGCAAAAGGGAAATTGTCTCAGTCCAACTGCCTGATCGGCTTTTTAGTTGTGACTGAAGCCCAGTCTTCCTTTCCCTTGAGGTTAAATCCATGCCAGTAAAAGTCTGCTTATTTAACCTAATCCTTAAAATCCACAATATGTTGCCAAGAGAAAGACTAAACATTACAAGAATCGGGGGGGGGGGGGGGGGGG